TGATAAGGTATTAATAATCAGAATCTACAGGGAGCTCAGAAAACTTAACCCCCAAAGGATCAACAACCCAATGAAGAAATGACCCAACTAATTGAACAGGGAATTTTAAAAGGAAGAGGTACAAATGGCCAATAAATACATGAAAAAGTGCTCAACCGCCCTAGTCATAAAAGAAATGCAAATTAAAACTACACTAAGATTTCATCCCACCCCAGTTAGAATGGCCATCTTCAAGAGCAAAACCAACAAATGCTGGTAAGGATGCGACAAAACAAGAACCCTCATATACTGTTGGTAGGAATGTACATTAGTACATTAGTACATTAGTATGGTTGTACATTAGTACAACCCTATGGAAAGCACTATGGAGGTTCCTTAAAAAACTAACAATAGAACTGCCATACCATCCAGTGATACTACTTCTGATCATGTACCTGAAGGAATATAAGTCAGGATATAATAGAGACACTTGCACACTGATGTTTATTACAGCACTGTTCACAATAGCCATACTATGGAAACAACCCAGACACTTTACAATTGATAGATTAAAAAAATTGGTATATATACACAATGGAGTTTTCTTCAGCCATAGGCAGAATGAAATTATGTCATTTGCAGGTAAATGGATGGAATTGGAGGACATCATGTTAAATGAAGTAAGCCAAATTCAGAAAGACGAAGGTCGCATGTTTTCTATCATATGTGGAAGATAGATCGAAAAGATAAACATATACACAAAACCAAACATGATCATAGACACATTTATATGTACAACATGTTTGTAATAATGGAAGTACTCTGTGGAACTCAGGAGAGGAAGGAAAGGAAAGGAAAATGATAGAGAATCCACAGTATCGGAATACATTACATCAGTACATGGAGAGGACATAACAATATGTACTGAAAGCTGTTGAATAATAGGGAGTAGGAAGGAAAGGGTAAGGGAGAGTAATAGAGGCTGTTGAGCTGACCAAAGCAAAGTATATTCACAGCTGGGATACGTTGAAAAACCCCTTTGTACATTGACTTTGGAATTAAAAATGAAAGCCAGGACTGTAAAATAGGTACAGTGTGAAGGCTACTTGTGGGAGGCGGAGGGTGAATGGAGGAGATGAAGGTCAGGGAATATGGTTGATAGGCTTCATATACATATTTGAAATATAATGATGAAATGAAACCTCTTGCAATTTCTTTAAGTGGGGTGGGGAGAAGGTTGCAGGGAAGAGAGTTGGGGCAATCTAACCAATGTATAATGTAAGGCTATTGGAAATTGTCACAATGAATCCTCCCTGTACAATGAATATATCCTAATAAAAAATGGAAAAAAGATTTCTCCTCTTAATAAATGAGGAAACCATATTAAGATCCAGGTGTTCTGACACCAGGGGCCATACTGTCCCTTAAAGTGCATTTTCACACACATATTTGCAGACAACCCATCTCAAAACGTGGCTACCTCCACTACATACATGTAACAGGAGTGATTGTGCTTTCCTCTGGACTTACACCAGAATTGGGTGATACTAATCTCTTGTAAACCATCATTTTTTCTCTTTTAGCCATGATAGAACTTATCTAGTAGAAAGAACCACACTCCTGGATGCCATTTGCAGGCTGCGTGGTCCTTTTGAAGTTCCTCTGAGCCTCATTTTCCTCATCCATACTGGGGTGGGGTGTGGGTGTATGGGAGAATTATAAAATCCCAGTGAAATTTTCAGGTTAAACAGTCTATGATTCTATAAATTTATATAAACAAATAGTAGTTAAAAATTCTGAAGTTTTCTTACCAATCCTAAATTCGAAATCCCATGTTTTGTCATAGAACATGAAAACCCTCACTGTGAAGGCAGTTAGTGCTGAGCAGAATTAAAGGAAAAATACTGTACTCAAGAGAAGTTTGGTAAAGAAAAATAGACTGTAAAACAGAGGTTGGCAAACAGTAGCCCATAGATTTTTTTCATTTTTAAATGCTTAAGTTTTTCCAGAAAAAAATAATGTTTTGTTGTGAATAATATGAGCATGAATGTGGAATTCAAATTTCCGTGTCTATAAATCAAGTGGTCTTAGAACCCAGCCACACCTATTCACACTATAATGGCAGAGGTGAGAAGTTATGACAGAGACACATGTCTCCTAGAGTCTAAGATATTTACTACTTAGTCCTTTGTGGGAAAAGGTAGCTGACCCCTGCTCTAGAATTTAGGTCCTTTAGGAGCATCTGACTGTAGGACTATCACCAAGGCAGTAATTTAAAGGAGCTTCTCATAAGTTTATGAAAACAATTTGGCATTATTCTGTTCTAGTATATATGACATGTCTGGTAAAAAAGACACACATGTCAAAGTCAGGTATTTTTTTAAAAAAATTGTACTGTGTGCATTAACAATTACTTTATGAAAAATTCACATTTTTTTTCATAACCAGGCTATTTCCAGTTGGAGTTGGGTATTTATGTAAAGTCACTTTGGTAATACAGAAATGTGTTTCATTTGTTTGGATTTCTGGTTTTAAAATGTCTTTTTCAGTTTAACATTATAAATTATATTAAGAACACATAGCATCAATTGCTTAAATTCAATGAATAACATAATCTTCCTGTTTGTTTCAGGCATCACTGCCTAGGTCCCTTGACGCAATTGATTGTTTGGGTCTAAAGCCCAAAATACTTAAAGATTTTTAAAATCTGGTTAAAGGACCACTACAAAGACTGTGTGTTTTGCCCTTTGACCAGACATTTGGTTTGATTTACTTTGGAATTATGTTTGACTTCCTAAAGGTATATAAGTTCAAACATGCCCTGTATCTTTGTAATGAAGTCCCTTGGAAAAATAGCAGATAGAAGTACTGGTTTATAGTTAAGTAAAGACAAATGATTAACAATTCATTTATTTTCACTCTGGGAAATGAAGTGTTCTGGATAATTGAAATTCTTGTATAACTGAATGTCATCCACTCATAGCAACCATGTAATAGAAATTATTTTGAAGTATAATTAATATTTTACTGACTTCTTTTAAAGATTACACTGAACATGCTTTAGTTTCTCTTGACAACTTAGATTTTATTATGCACATCAATTATTGTACCATGCTGTAATATTACACTATGCTGTAATTGTGCCATTTTGGAGCTAAGAAGATAGGTAATAATGTTTGCCTTAATGGTAAATGGCCATAGACTCTTATACTTTTTAAGTTCTAACTCTGCTATGTCATTTTCTATGGATTGCTATGCTTTCCATTTCACAATTCTGTGTTCCTTCTGAATGGCTAGGCCTCTAGAAATATTTCCCCTTCCTTGCCATTTTCAGTTTTCTAAGGTGTTAGGATAAGATGATCAAGCTTTTTAGAGTCTTTTGTCAAAAATCAGTTCTTGCACATATGAATAAAATAAAAATTTTAAAAAAATCAGTTCTCTATCAGTGAAGGCACAGAAGCCTTTGAGCAACAAACTGAATGTGCTTAATGACAGCTCTTTAGCTAAGAGAACTTTGCTACTTCTCGCTGAGTTGATGGAGTGGTGATGGTCCCAGAAGACAAATCTCTTGGGAAACAGAGTCATGCTAAATAGATTGAAAAGTTGAGTTTCAATTAAAGCACAGTCATATACTTCTTGGATTAATTCTTTTAAAGACAAATTACACAGTGGTCCTATTTTTATTCTGTAGAGTAGCAAGATTAGGCTTAATGAATAGATTAATTAGAGCAGAGATTGATATAGCTAATTCTTTTTTTTTTTTGCTTATGCTCTTTTTTATTTTATTATTTTTTTCTTGTTTATTCACATGTGCATACATTGTTGGGCCATTTCTACCCTCTTCTCCCTACCCCTCCCTCTCCCCCCCCCCGCCCCTCCTTGCTTGCAGGCAGAATCTATTCTGCCCTTATCTCTAATTTTGTTGAGGAGAGAGTATAAACAATAATAAGAAAGACAAAGCATTTTTGCTAGTTGAGATAAGGATAGCTATACAGAGAGATTCCTAGCATTGCTTCTATGTACAAGTGTGTTACAACCCAAGTTGATTCATCTCTAACTGACCTTTTCTCTAGTTCCTAATCCCCTTCTCATATTGACCTCTGTCACGTTAAAGTTTTATATTTACTTTTTTTTAGTGCTGGCCATCAAACCCAGAACCTTGTGCAGGCTAGGAAAATGCCCCATCACCAAACTGCATCCCCAGTCTATTACATGAATTAATTGTCTCTAGTTTTGCAATGCTTGCTCTGCAGCCTATACTAATTCTCTGTTCCATCCACTGGGTGCCATGTGTGATCTGAACATTACTGTATTGCTTCTCTTTATCATGCTTATGCTACACAGATTTGCCACACACACAGCAAACCCCATGAGTGCAAATCTGGATTTCTAAAAACTAAATGAATTGTGTAAAAGGTGACTTTCAAGTGAAATTCAAATCCTTTTAACTAATATACACCAAAATATTTCAAATTACTTCCTATACTTCAAAAGGCTTGTAACAAAGTTTTAAGAACACCACTGTTGTACAGATTGAGGTATATTTATTGCATATGAGTCATAGTGTTGGCAGAAAGTTGGAGTGGTTTCTATAAAAGGGAAAACATCATATCTACTAATTACAGTCTTATTTACAAATTTACAAAAGCCATGACCATTTGTTTTTTTGAACCATGTCTCTTTACTTCATTAGAGCTATCACTGCCTAGCTACATAAGAGTTATACCCTTGAATTTCACACATGTTGGTCATTTGATCCCTGGGGCACACACTTCCAAATAGACACCAGTCTTACTTATAATTCTAACAAAATAGCAATTATGGTCATGTTGCAGCAGGTTCAGCTACCATGTATTGTTCAAGTAGAGCTAGAGAAGTCTAATTAATGTAATTGTTATTTCCTATTTTATAAACATTAGTCAAATTGCATTCAGCAATAACAGCTATACATTTTTGTCCCCCTTGTATCATTTAACTAATGTTTGTATTGTATATGTCCTTTCCTATAGGAATCTCAACATCTGACCCCAGGATTCACCTTACAAAGTAAGTGTTTTTTGAAAATTTCTTCATAGTCCAGGCATCCATATCCTTTTCTCCATTACTTTTCCCTATTTCCTAATTAATATCATTAGAACATGAAAGAAAAACAATGTCAAAATGTTATATTGTGATATATTCAACTAGTTACTTTTTAAATGTTGTTCATGGCAGGAAGCTAAGTAACTTAAAGAACTGTATGTTTGGAGACTAATTTAATTCTGAATAATAATTTGACAGTAGTAACATGAACAGTAATTGTGTCCTTTCTTTTCAGAGTGGAGTGACCCAACCAGCAGAGCTTCTACAAAGTGAGTGTCATTCAAGTAGTGAATACTTGAGTTCCCAGACTAGGCATTTTCAGGGGTACTTGGCAAGGAAACAGTGCCTCAATGCTGAACTCGTTCTCTGTTGTTCTTTCCAGCTCAGTGAGACTATGAACCTTGACTCATAGTAGTATGTGCTTTGGTTAGCAGTGAGAATCAGATTTCCCCATTCTCTTAGACTCTTTTGGCTGCTATAACAAAATAGTGCAAGATAGACAGTTTATAAATCACAGAAATATATTTTTCACAGTTCTAGAGAATGGAAAGTCAGAGACCAACGTACCATAGAAATGGTATCTGGTAAACGTCCATTTCATCATGGACAGCCAAATTCTCACTCAAATATTGCATGGTAGAAGTGATGAGAGGTCTTTCAAGGGCCTCTTTAATAAAGGCATTAATCCCATTCATTTGTTCACCACCATTATAATCTATTTACCTCCCCAAATGCCTACTTCCTAATACTACCACCTTGGGGTGAGTATTTCAACATATGCAATTTAGGGAGATAGCTTCAGACTACAACACCATGATCAGTAAGTAACAGTAAAAATGAATATGGTCACAATTAGGCTCTCTAATATGTAGACAGAGACGGGTTCAACACCTGAGACAGGAAAACAACCAAATTTCAGGGAAAGTATATCTTGATGGCTTATTTCCCACCTTTTGACTGGTGGTTGAGCATCATGTAACTTCAGCTATAAATATCATTATATGCAATAGTCATCTACCTCTAACAAGGATGGGCAAAGGACACATGTGGCTTCCTGTGACTAGCCAGCCCAAGATCCCACTATTTAGGTCATCTGACATCTATATATTAAAAACAAAAATGTATATGTGCTTGCTTCGGCAGCACGTATAAAAAATTGGAACAGTACAGAGAAGATTAGCATGGCCCCTATGCAAGGATGATATGCAAATTCATTAATCTTTCCATATAAAAATATAGGGACAAATAAGGGCAGCTGCAAAGAAATGTAATAAGAGATTACATGGTTCTAGGTTGAAGTTCAGAAATCAAGGCCCTGCAATTCACTTAGCAATATCTTCATTTTTTATTAACATTGACTGAAGGAGGAGTTTTAGAAACCAATTTCCTTAGTTTAACTATTGTAGATTTTTTAATATCCATTTGCCCAAGAGTGTGTCAAAGGAATATTTTTCTATGACCTCTTTCATTCCTGATAATAGAAAAACGGAAGTTGACTTTTCTGTGTGAATAATAGTACATATTTGAAAATTTTCAAATTGAAATAATTCATGACACTCAAGTGGCCTAATGGCACACTTGAAGCAAATTGCTCACCTGGAAGATCACAAATAATTGCACAAAACAACTGGGAATGTCTCCCAAATAGACTGGGGCTGAGAAAGTCAATGGTGTTTCTACTATACGTTCTTGTTGGAGTGTAGTAGCAAAGCCCCAAAGCCCTGATTCTACCACCAGTCCTCTTATTTGGTTTTATGACTTGATCTGTGCTTTCTAATTCAAGCCTCAATTTCAACAGTCAAGAATCCTCAATTTAAAAAAAATCAAGAAAAAACAAGAGAGAGAGATAAATAAAACCATAACCCCAATTTAAAGACCAAGCTATATGGAAACACAGAAATCAAAATCACCTTTGATATTGTTCATTTTGGCTTTCCTATTAATCACATAAATGAACTGTCCTACTTATTATTATAATAAACAGTAGCTCTTATCTCCATGCTTTTATTCCTATTGTAGACTCAATAAAACACACATATACACACACATAAATGCTCAGAAAACCAATGCAAGTTTGTAAACATAAAAAAATAGAAATTGTATTTTCCAATGTAAAATTATTTCACTCCTAAAGCACGAGTATCAGGCTCCCACTGTGAAAATACTTGTTTCCATATATACCATAGAATGCAATATCTCAGTAATTTCTAACAGAAATAAATTTGTCAATGGTGATTTACAGCTGCATTTCAGAGACCAGCATTATGGTATAGTGCAGTCAATAAGACTAAAATTCTCTATAGGAGGTGTCAGCAAGACCAGAAGACACTGAGTCTTTTATGAATGAGTTTCTCTCTTTTTGGCTACTTGAAGTGAAGTCTAAGCACTGTCCATCAAATTTTACCTGAAATAAGTTCCCTTCTTATGGTATGGTATGAGTTTCACACAGGACAGATCAGAGTTATAATAAAGTTCTTTTTATTTTTAGCTTCCAAATTATTGTCAGTTCAGCCTTTAATGCTCTTCCATATTTTACACAGTATGCTTTGCAGCCAACTTCTAGAAGTTTCCGTTTGGCGGGGCAATTCTCCAAGCAATTAAGGACATTCTGAGTGTAGAAAGATTGTTGTTCCTGGAGCCTGGTAGGAAGCAGTCCCCAAGGCAGCCAGGCCACAAGAAAAATGCCCACCCAAAGTCAGCAAACGTGTGGGGCATGCTCCCTGCTACTTGGTGTAGTAGACAGAGATTACAGTCTTGTAAACCTGAATCCCTTAATTGCTGGGACATATATTCATTTCCTTGTTTTGGCTTGTTTGACAAAATGCAGATCTTCCACTGGAGTGTTGATTGTTTATAAGGAATGTGTGCATGGGCACCAGGTCTGAAAACACTTGTCCCAGTGTATCTGAGTACAGGCTTGCAACTATCCAGGCTTACTCTTTGTTCTTGACAGTTGCTACTCTCTCTGGGCCTAACCCTAGCACATGATTGGCTTTTTGAAAAACTGGATATTTTCTTACTCACTCAGTCTACTTCATTGACATACAGAGATTTTTATGGGGTATTTATCAACATCCTATCTACCTTAATTGGAACCCTGAATGCCCTTGAGGCAAGAGCACTGGACTTAAGGAGTTTAGTGACCTGGGTTTTAGCTTCTGCTCCATAACAATTATGGTATTGGAAAAAAACACTGATCAAGGATGCAGAAGATGTGAGCTTAAATCACAGGAAAATTTATTTTTAATGTATACAGAGTCCTTTAAGGCAAATTAAACAAATTGATGACCATATGTGTAAACACGTATGGGTACACACACAAACACTTGTCAGAATCCAAATATGAGCATACTCTTTAGTAATTACTCTTAACATAAAAGTACAGTTAACTTTAATACTTAATAATTTTTAGTTGATAGAAGACCCAACAGTCAGTCCCTCTTAGCATACCACATGCCTCCAGTCTCTATCTCAATGAGTCTGAGCTGTGTTATAGCCTTGGAAAGAACTCACCCAAATATTCTAAGACCAATGAAGTTACTAACCTCCTCCAAAATGGTCTGTGTCCCAAAAAAAGGAGGATAAGACACGAACTGAAGAAGGTCAATTTGTATTTCTCATGATTATAGAATTATATATTTATATAGTATTGTCATGTCTATTCTGTCTCTAAACAATGTTCTTGTTTTGATTACCAGATTCAGATTCTCAGCAAGCACACCAGACATTGTGTTACTTTAAAGCTCTTTTTTCTTTTATTCTTTCATTTTTTGCAATATATGGTTTGTATTCAGGACCTTATACTGGTGAGGCAGGTGCTCTGCCTTTTGGACCATGAACCCCAACCCTTTTGGCTTAGTTAGTTTTTGAGCAGGGTCTTGCCTTTATGCCTGGGCTAGCTGGATAATGACCTTCCTATATATGCACTTCCAGCATAGCTGGGATGGCAGGTGCATGCCACCACACCCAGCTTTTATTGGTTGAGATGGAACCCCCCTAACTTTTTGCCTGGATTGGCCTCCAACTGTGATCCTCCTGATCTCTGCCTTCCAAGTAGCTAGGATTATAGGTGTGAGCCACTGACCCTGGCCTACTTTGTAGTTTCTTAATGAAGCCATTAAAGAACAATGGGGGAGAAAACATAAAACAAACCAAAGAAATTTGATTTTCTTTGTTGAGTTGGATTGCTTCATTTAATTGATTATAACACCTTGGCAGTTACTTGCCTATACAGTATCATTACATGAATGCATGACGTTTAGGGTTTTATGAGCCATCATAGATAGGGACACATAAGATATATTCAGTTACCTTGAATAGAATTTTTAGACAGCTTCCATGAATACATGGATGTCTATCCAGTTAGCTTTTGACTTCAGTTAATTTTGTGAATACTATTGAGAAAATGGCAACTCCAAATAGAAACTTCCTTTGTTAAACATTTCGGCCTTGTCCAATTGGAAACCATCCATACCTCCTTTTAACCAAGCAGTTCTTAATGTTTTAAGCCATCAAGAGTACCTATATAGTCTCCATAAAAGCCCCAATTTAATGGCAGATGTAACCATACTTCTATTTTTCCTTGCCATAAAAATAGTTCCTCCACTTAGAGTATTAACTACTACATGTTTGAAAACATCCATCCATGGATCTAGAGATTTGATGAAAGGCCATGTGGAACCAGACTGGTTGTGTACAGCCTCAGTCTACCTGTGGGTTACTGATAAGCATGCTGCATGAACAAATGCCTCAGTGTAGTTCTAAGTAAGGGGAAAGGAAATTATGTTATCACAGGAATGACAGAAATCTCAAACAATAACCATTGTGCTGCTAACCATCCATCCTAGAAGTGCTCCACATCATTCCAATCGTGCAGATGAGAAAAGTGAATCTAGAATACAGTCCCTCCCTATAGTGTGTGCACTCCAATGATAAGACAAACTAACTGTGTACATTTATCTCAAATGGGCATCCTGACTACAAATATACAGAAGAGCCATCTAAATAAGACTGCTCCTTGGTGGGAAAGTTTGAATGCAGGCTGAGGGCTCTGTGTATTCAAAGCCCCTTGTCTTCCAACTGGGCTTCCCTTTCATGTGTGATCTGATGGGCTTGGTACACCAAATTTGGTCTTTTGTACTTAGATCCAACTTTTAGGAGACTTATAGAGCTGGTTAGTAGAAATGAATTCCACAAGAAATTATACCTCTCTGGTTTGGAAGACAGAAAACTAGATCAAAATTTCCTTGTTTAAATAAAGTGTCATTAT